CATACAAATGTTATCCTTCTCTAGCCAGGACCTAAAGAATAGCAGGAAGCAAATCTACTAAATGAAGTTAAACAAATAATGCCTTTTCTTTCTGTGTTGTCTTTAATTTGTCAGAGACATTTTAATTCAGAACTTGGTTATTATATGATGCAGGCCAGTAACAGCTGAGAGAAGTAATTACATAAGGATGGAAAGCTTACAACCACTGCTCTCCTATATTTTTGCCTTTCTAACCACTACAGCACCTCCCATAAAATAGTTTTAATTTTGGTCCATGCTGAGCACCTGCTGTGCTCCAGGCCCTTAGCTAACTGTTGTTGATAGAACCGTGGTTGAAGGCAGTTGTAGGCCCTGACCGAGAGTGGGCCATAGCTAACGGGGCAAGCATGAGGAAGAATACTGAGCTCAGGGTTTCTTTTTTAAAATCAAATTATATATTAATAATTTATAATGTCTCAGAACAGTGAAAACTCTTTAAATCTCCATGGAGGGATTGGAGTAAGGTGGGTTTAAGCAGCTAAATCTCCCATTTTCTAACATGAATGGCTTGTCTCCTAGATACTTAACAAGCCTTATGTAAATCATGGGAGCTTCCTTTCCCTGACATTAGAGTCACTGCCAGACACCTGTTACAGATACATTGCCTTGGAAATGTACCTGTGCCTGTCACTGTGGCAACACCCTTGAGAATGACCTCAGCAGCCACTCAGAATCATCCCTACAAAACAAATTATGGCTATAATTAACTTTCTGAATTTACTGTACAATATAAATTTGTGCAGATCTCAGTGTGTGTGTGTTTTTTTAAAGGTTGAATGAATGGAATAATCCAACATGAAGCTATCCTCCATATTCCACCTTTTTTTTTTTTTTTTTTTTTTTTTTGCCAGGATGGAAAATGCCTCAGTGGAAAGTACAATTTAGTTAAGAGATCATTTCTTTTTTCTCGGTATGTGAGGAGGATGAACAAATGAAAATGTTCTAGTCTTATCATGCTAGAACTCCATTTTTAGGGGAACAGAGTAGCTTTTTTCCCTAGCAAATGTGAAATACAGTGTTGTGAATCCCTCCTCTTTGAGTCCTGTGAGCCCAGAGTAAGGGGAGTGCGTGGGATTGGGGATTATGTGGGCAGCACCTCTTTGGCCCCTTCTTGGCAATGAAAAATGCAGGGTTTTGTTTTGTTTTGATTTTTGAGACAGAGTTTGTCTCTGTTGCCCAGTCTGGAGTGCAGTGGCACAGTCTCGGTTCATTGCAACCTCTGCCTCCGGGTTCAAGCAATTCTTCTGCCTCAGCTTCCCAAGTAGCTGGGATTACAGGCATGTACTACCACGCCCAGTTAATTTTTGTGTTTTTAGTAGAGATGGGGTTTTGCCATGTTGGCTAGCTGGTCTCAGACTCCTGGCCTCAAGTGATCTGGCCCTCCCAAAGTGCTAGGCTTACAGGTGTGAGCCACTGTTCCCAGCCAGAAATGCAATTCTTGGTCTATACATTTTACCTGCTTCACAAATTGTAACACATCTTCAGTCATGGGTAGCTTCTCAGTTGCCCAGGTTTTACTCAAGGAGAAAATAGTTTTTATGTCTTTTGTTTAGTTGGGGGCTTTATTTATTTATTTATTTAGCCTTGTTTTGGGTTTTGGTTTGATTTTTGGCTCTAGGTGATGTATGTTGCACCTAGCAGAGCTAGATACAGTTCCTCTCAGCTTTTCTTTTGTTAAGCTAGGTGAATTTAATTCTTTTACCCCCAGTGAAGTGAACCTTTCTCCCTACCATTCAACTGAAGCAAAGCAAAAAGAAGGGCAAGCAAGAACTGTAGCTTGCTTTTAAGTTAACCAGAAATTTATGGAGTATCTTTAATGGCCATTTCTTTGCTATGAACTGTGATGATACCTGGGCAGTGGACACATAGAACAGAGCCTGGCAGGCAGCAGGTGCTCAGTGTGAGTTAGTTGCTGTTATGCTGTTGTTGTCATTCTCTATGATCTATACTACCATTGAAAAGATGAAGAGGAAAAAGTATTCTTGCAAGTATGAGTGTTGAGCTCAGTACCCTGAACTTAGGAGTGATACCACTGACAATTTTTTTAGGGTAGCCAGAAGCTCTTGTAAGTGGTTTTCCAGTGGCAGATATGCCCCTGATTCCATCTTATCCAAGCAGTGTGACAGGTAATTTCCCACTTCATGCACTGGTTCTTTAAATTCTCCTGTGCAAACCATTCATCTGTGCTTTAGTATGGAGTGGCAATGAGTAATCTGTTAGGTTCATCTTCAGAAAACAGAAAACCACAATTTCCCTTTACCATAGGAACACCACAGCAACCTGAATTACAAGAATTAGCAGCCCTCTGTTCTGACCTCTGTGTATGGCATTAAGTGAGCAAAGATGGTTTATCGGGCAGTATATTTCTGAGCAACCTTGCCAGTGGAAATTTAAACTTGTTTGATTCCTCTAAGTTTTTGTATACAGTGGTTAAATAAATGGTGAACTTACAGATTTTAAAATGTACAATCAGGTTTTTCAAACAAAGGAGCTGATAAATTTGAAAACTCGATCCAGAGTAGCTATCTGATTTTTTATATATGATGTGGTAAGCTGGTTTATCAGTAGAGTGAAATACAGATCACCTCCCAGAACATGGACTCATTAACTCTTAACAGAGTACTCCACAATCATGGCAAGGCATTTACTAAAATTCTGGGTCTAGTTTATTTTTAGGTTTTTTTCCTATCTTTCACACCAGTATTCTCCCAGCCTCCCTCGATTTGTCCTCTAGCCAGTTTTACAGTAATTGGAGATATCAGGCTGGTTCCTGTTACTCAGTAGAGAGCTGACTGCCAGCTAGAGAAAAATCAATGTATCAGGGATCAGGCCCCGGGAATACAAATTTAATTGATTTGCAGGAGGAGTTTCTGGGCGGATACTTTTTTGTTTTAAAGAATTGATACATGCCACCAAAGAGGCAGTAATTTTATTTCTTTATTGAAGTCAGATTTAGTCCTCCTACTTTGTGATTTCATGAATCTTGTAGATTTAACATTTTTTTTTTTACATTCAGTTTCAAATTTAAGGGTATTATTCATTTAGAAATATCACTCACTAAGAATGCTGTTTAAATAATGCTAAAACTAAATCTCAGCATAGGAAATCCATCAATCTATCTAGCACATATTTATTAAATACTATTTGCCTGGCATTCTTTCAGGTACCAAGACAGAAATAGACCGGTAAGACAGAGTCCTTACCCTCAGTAGGTCATGTCCACTGAGTATTTGTTACTGCTCAGTTGTAACATGCTATGCACAAAGCATTGCTTATTATATATCTCAGAACTCACCTTCTCTTGTTTGTGGGCATGAAGGAATTGAAGATCCAGTTCTATTAAGCCTTCCACCTTTTCTTAAATCTGGTTTATAAGTTAGTTACTTTGTGCATATACTTAGTAGTGGTGTGTTTTGAAACTATGTATGCTCCATCCTTTCCAGTACAAAGGAGAACACAGTTACTCTTTGAAATCATGAAAATACCACTGAATTCTATCAAATTATGTCATTCTCAGAATTTCAAATTGTTTTTTACACTTTTAGAAAATGAAACACGAATGGAATAAAAGATTCTTGAAATGGCAAAATTACACTGATGAACATTTGTCTGGCTGCCAGAGGTAACATAGGCAGTTTCTTTGTAGTGAGGACAATTCTGTGTCCTGATTGTGGTGGCATTATACAAATCTGTACATATAAACTCTCATACAACTAGATACCCCCCGTAATACAATCAGTGCTCTGTATGTATGGATTCTACATTTGTGAACTCAACCACCTGTGGATCAAAAAAATTCAGAAAAAAAATTGTGTCTTTACTGAACATGTACAGATTTTTCTTGTTTTTATTCTCTACATACTACAGTAAAACAACTATTCACATAGCATTTACATTGTAAGTAACCTAGAGATGATTTCGATACAGGAGAGAACTATGCATACATTATCTGCAAATACTGTGCCATTTTATATGAAGGACTTGAGCATCCAGGGATTTTGATATGTGCAGGAGGTTCTGGATCCAGTTGCCCACAAATAGTGAGGGATGACTGTATACATACATATAATATATGCATATGATATGCATATGAGTATGCAACAATGGGTAAAATTCAATAAGGTCTGTAGTTTTGCTAATAGTATTGTATCAATGTCATTTTCCTGGTTTTGATAATGTACTATGGTTATGTAAGATGTTATTGTTAGGGGAAGCTGGGTGAACGGTACAAGGGAATGCTCTGTAATTCTTTTGCAACTTCCTATGAGTCTAAAGTTATTTCAAGAGAAAAAAAAATTTAAGGGAAGGGAAAAGTATCAAGTGTCATATAACCAGATAAATTTAAAGGTAAGGTGTGGTGACTCAAATATTGGGAATATCTGACCTTAGACACATTATTACTGCAGTAACTAGAAATGTCATGGCTTCACATTAATCATGAATGACTTAGGCTAGGCCTTGGACAGAATTTAGGATACTGTATCCTGCTGTCTTCTCTTAGGGGAATAATGAAATTCATTCCAGGAAAAGACTCTGATGTTCTTGCGGGCAGGGAGTGGGACCTATTCTGACCTTATGTGCAACTCTGTTATCTTAAAAACTATTTGTTTTAAACTCCTGCTTTGACGACCAGACCTGCTAAACAAGTAGAGGATAGGAAACTTATTTGAATTTCTTTTTCTTTTTTTCTCCCACTCCCTGCCTCTGAAGAGTATGAGTTCTAATTGATAATAAGAGAAGAAATGATAACTGTGGTGTATAGGTAATCTATAGATAGATAACCTTCCAGTAATGGAAGGTCGACCTTATCTTTCTTTTCCACAGACTTCTCTACCACTTTCTGATCTTTTTCTTTCTCTTTTTTACTTCTCTTTTAGGACTCATTTTTGTCCTTCCCTTTCCGTAGACAGCTTTGGTGTGATGGTGTCACTGACATTCTCATTGTGTCTTCCCTCCTCTAGCTATCTTAATGACTTGGACCGTGTAGCTGACCCTGCCTACCTGCCTACGCAACAAGATGTGCTTAGAGTTCGAGTCCCCACCACAGGGATCATCGAATACCCCTTTGACTTACAAAGTGTCATTTTCAGGTAGTAACTGAGTCCATAAAACCTATTTCCCAGATTTTATGCCTTGAGTACATTTGGTAAACTCTGTAGATACTGAAATCATGTGTAGGCTTTAAAACATGTGTAGGCTTTAAAACAAGATAGCCTTTATACCAATTACTATCATTTTACCAAATAAAATAACATATCCCTGAAGGAGGAAACAGAAAGATGTACTAGAGGCTGGGTGTGGTGGCTCACACCTATAATCCCAGCACTTTGGGAGGCCAAGATGGGTGGATTACCTGGCATCAGGAGTTCAAGACCAGCCAGGCCAACATGGTGAAACCCCTTTTCTACCAAAACTACAAAAATTAGCCGGGCGTGCTGGCAGGCGCCTGTAATCCTAGCTGCTTGGGAGGCTGAGGTGAGAGAATCACTTGAACCCAGGAGGCGGAGTTTGCAGTGAGCCGAGATTGTGCCACTGCACTCCAGCCTGGATGACGAAGTGAGACTCCATCTCAAAAAGAGAAAAAAGAGAGAAAGATGTACTGTACTGGTGCGTTTTACATTTCAATTTAAATCACTAAGAAATCAATAAAATCTTAGTTTTTGTTCGTGATTGAGTAAAATCCATAAATAAACTGTTGGTCTTAACTGTAGTTTTTTGGGCAGCCGTTTTACCTTTAAGGACCATGGATATGTTTTTAGAATGATGTAAGATGTGAATGATCTTACGATTTTGTCACTCACAGAAATCATGTATTGTCAGAAGTTTTCATGCTGGTGTTTTTCCTAAGTCCTCTTGCACCAATGCACGATTTTTCAGCAGCAAGAAAAATGTGTGACATTTTACATTCATAAAATACGTTGCTTGAAAAATTTCAAGAGACATGACTTTGGTTACCTAGCAAAATAGAATGAGAATTTATTACCTCGTCTCTCCCTGCTGCTGTTCTGTCTGGATAATACTTCAACAGAAGCATTCTGTTGTTTTGTTTTTAGGATGAGAAAAAATAAACAATACTGATGTACTTCCATTTAATCTCTTATTATGCAATCACTCAGTTGTACTTTTAGTTAGAATACAAACTCCATGGTGATTTGAAAAATGAGAATATGTCTTGGAGTGTGGAGAGTTGATTTTCTAAGCACGCCCATCCCATTGAAGATGGATGTGTGCAATATTGGTTATGAAGTAGAAGTCAGCGTCTCCTGTGTCACTCTGCCAAGTGACTCTGATTAGCAGGCCCACCTTCATTTCTTGCCAGGACACTGTGTTTTATTCTAATTGGTCTCTGTACATGTGGTCAGATCTGGCTGCCATACATTAGTCTAATAGACATGGCCACAAAGTAGGTGGCGTTTTGAAACTATTCCTGAGCCTCAGTGTTTTAATCTGTAAAATGGTTGTACTGCATTAGATGATCTCCAGAGTTCCTTGTAGCACCAGCATTCTGTATTACTTAGGTTTTAAGTTTATAGTATTTAGAAATCTTTAATTTGAGACACCCAGATTTCCTTTCTCCAAGCTACAAAATGTTTTCAGAAAACATAACATTTCATGGGAATTTTCATCTCCTTATTGCTTCGCAATTAGTGGATTCTGAAATCAGATTACAAGTTGTTTTTTCACGTTTTGTGCACTAGCTTTTGAAGTACACTTTTTGCCACTACAGTAAAAGTAATGACTTAGAAGTATAATTTTTCACCATCATCAAAAGCATCTTTTATGGCCCAGTGTGACAGGGTTTCATGGAATGAGGATTTCATGTAAATTAGTAACATATTATTCACGCCTTGGCATTAGGGAAGAGCCAGCATTAATACTTCTGAAAATCTAAGAATTCTGGCTTTGATGTCTGTAGTACATGGATCTCCCTGGATCTATTGTTTTGCCCCTTAGCTCCCTCCTGTGCCTTACAAGGCTTACGAGCCATCACTTAGAAGATCCTTGAGTTCTTAGCTTAGCTTTAATGCCACGAAGCAGGAAAACACCAGGAGCAACTGCAATTTTAACAAATGTTTAAAGAACCCTACTTTCAAATTTTTGTACTTAAACCTCTCATTCTCTGAGACTGTTTTTTTTTGTTTTTGTTTTTGTTTTTTTTCTGTGAACATTATGTGCATTTCATTCAAGATACAGATTCAACAATTTGGAGAAACTTTGACTCAGTGCCAAGCATTACTAGATATTTTCAGAAATACATTGTCACTCAAATTAATCGATGGCAGTGTTGGTTTCTGAGCAGTAATTCAGCACAGAATTGGTGTGTTAAAAACAAATAATTGAAATGGTTCGCAACATGGCCTCCGTCTTATACCATGTAGTATCTTCATTCACTTACACTTCATTTCCAGCATGTGAGTGAATTGGTTTGTACACAAGGGTTAGCGTACTGTGTTACCTGACATGGCCAGACCTGTGCCAAATTCTTACAATATTGGGAGGAAAAAATTGCCCAGAATGTTTAACCTGCTAATGAAGGATGAGTGGGGTTGTATTTGCATTTAGTGGAAGCATCATACCACCCATATTGAAATGTGTGGCACCCCACATATTTTCAGTATACTTGTAGTCATATCTAGCATCCTTAAGAAATACATGAAGATCTTCTTTTCTGAGTTTATAGGAAAAGAAACTGAAGTTCAGTACTTGCCAATAGGGCATCACACAAAACCCATTCTGTTTTAGACTCCTGGGTGCTTCATTAAATAAAATACCATTTTGCTTGGCACAGATAAGAATTTTTTTTTTTTTACATTGTTACAGTTTTCATATACACTGGTAACTTTCTTATAACCACCATGATATATTACCCAGAATGCCTTGATTTTGAATATTAGGTAATAGGAAATTAGTAGTTATTTAATAAGTATTAATTGAATTGACTCGGATTATCATTGTCATTCAAGAGAGTATTTTCCCCAAGTTTGTAAGCAGTGCTATATTTATGTTGACTTATTAGTTTTACTTTATATGTTATTAATATGAGTATTGTTAACCTTGCAGAATGGTCGATGTAGGGGGCCAAAGGTCAGAGAGAAGAAAATGGATACACTGCTTTGAAAATGTCACCTCTATCATGTTTCTAGTAGCGCTTAGTGAATATGATCAAGTTCTCGTGGAGTCAGACAATGAGGTAAGTGTTCTTTAGACAGGCAATGGATTATCATTTTATTATCTGACACAAGTAAATGATAGCAAGTAGGGTGTGGGGAATGGGGTGAACTGACTTCTTTGCTTTCTTGAAATTTGATTTTAGGTCTTTTAAAATAACCAAAAATAATCCTGTTATCACATGGTACACTCAGAGTGGTCAGCTCTTCTGTCAGATGTATGAGCTGATCTGTGTGTTCAAACCTAATTAGAGCCTATTTGATACTTTTAACACTATGCAGAGGTTCTAAAAATGAAAATAACATGGAAATTCTAGGCCAAGCATCAGATCATTCTATAGTCTTCTTCCTACAGGACAGAACTGGGAGTGTTGGAGTGAGTCACTCTGTTTTGTTTTGTTTTCATTTTGTTTAAATCATTGTTTGTGTGATGGGTGGGCCCCAAAGAGTACTCAAAACCTCTCTTGGCAAATGTGAATGACTTTGCAGCTGGGCTCTAAATCAGTTCATTGTGAGCCATGAAATGTCTTGGTGATGTGGCCTTTCTGTTCTTATAGAATTCTCTAGTCTGTTGCATAATTTTGTCTCTACTAAGCAGTGAGCAATTGAAGAAGTGTCCTTAATATGCCTGTCTGGAGAACGGATTGAGTATTATTATCTCCTTCCTGTTACACAGGGAAACTTAACAGGTATAAATGTGGATTTTGAGGATGGTAAAGACCTGACAAGTCTGAATTAATTAGGGAAGATAATTAAGGGGTGTAGAAATCTGTGCTTCTGAGCTGGAGTTGTGTGCATGTGTATGTGTATGTTGGGGGAACAGAGAAGATGCCATTGATATCCTGTTAGAGGCAGAGATTGCAATGTGATAGGTTAATAATAAATATTAAATATCCTAATAATAGGGTTAAAAAAAAAGAGAAGGAAGTGAGATATCCTCATTTGCTGACTAAAATAGGATCTAGCATATTATGCTTTTAATATAGTACATTTTTTAGGTACACAAGAATTCCTGACTTGTTCTTTTAAGTATTTTTCTCCCAGTATTAATATCTCCATTAAAATACATATCCAAGCCGCTAAAGTATTTCTTTTGTGTATAGGATTGATAAAGTTTCCATGAATCAATATCTCATATAGAACCGAGAGTTACCTGTTCATGTGTTTCAGAATCATTCCTGAGTTGCGAGTATATTGGCTTTGGAGTCAACCGAAGGACTTCTGATTAAGAATGAGGCTTATCAGTCAGTTTCCCCCAGTAACTATAAAGCAAAGTGCCTAAAAGCATGCCATAATATATGGCAGTAAGTTACCAACATATAAGGCAGTTAATACCAGAATTTTAGCTATGATATATCTATCTGTATATCTTCATCTCTGTGCTTAATTGTTGTTAGATAATCCCTGGATGTAGTTTTTTTTTTTTTTTTTTTTTTTGAGACGGAGTTTCGTTCTTGTTACCCAGGCTGGAGTGCAATGGCGTGATCTCGGCTCACTGCAACCTCCGCGCCCTGGGTTCAAGCAATTCTCCTGCCTCAGCCTCCCGAGTTGGGAGTACAGGCAGGCGCCACCACACCCAGCTAATTTTTGTATTTTTAATAGAGACGGGGTTTCACCATGTTGACCAGGATGGTCTCAATCTCTTGACCTCGTGATCCGCCCGCCTCGGCCTCCCAAAGTGCTGGGATTACAGGCGTGAGCCACCGTGCCCGGCCGGATGTAGTATTTTAAACATACTAAAAATTTTGGGAACAAATCTATTATAACACTTCTGGTTTTTTTGAATATTGTATCAAGACACATCATATTTTGAGGGCTTCCCTACTGTATGCTGGGTACCAGAGTATCTAAAAAGTCACAAAAATGGGTAAGAAAATCAACTCTGCCCTAAAAGACCTTATAAATGAGATAATCTTTTGGTCAGAATAAGCCATATGGGGAAAGGTAAGCCTTTGTTATGTAGGTTGTCATTTTTCCTCTTTAATTTGCCATCCAGTAAAATAAAATTTGCATTTATCAGCTACACAAGAGATATAAGAAGCATATGTGACTTTATTTCTGATGTTTACGTAATAGCTAGAGGAAGAGAAGTGTTTATTAATACACATTTTACACAAGATAAATTCATTATATATAAAGAAGTGTATGTCATGATTGAATACTTACCAGTTTACCACTTTAAAATTATCAAAATAGAAAAGAAAGTGGATTCCTTTGGCAACTCATCATCTAATTCAGTTGAACATAATTGAATCTGGTTCTTCAGTTATCTGAACATTATAGACCATTTATTCCACTTTTCACCAGATACAGCTAATAGTGATTAGATTTTTATATAAAAGTATATTATGTTAGAATAAAATGGTATTGTTTTGATTATCATGTGTTATAATTTAAATTCCCACAGTAACTTGACGTTCAATGTACAGGTACTAAGAACATCTAAAAATATCGTCCCAGTTCCTTTGATTGCTATGGTGATGCCTTATGCTACTTTTAAATAATTGCAAATTAAAATAATAAAGCTATCATGTTTTTCATTGGGACTTCCTAAAATTACTTGTGAATCTTTTGAAAGTCTAGGTTGTAATACTGTAAGATGAGAGTCAGCATGTTGTTACTTTCTGAGACCTCTAGTCAAGCCTGATAATAGTATGGGATCGTGAGAAAAGTGCTATTCATTAATTCCTTCATCCATATTAGCCACACCTATCACCATTAGTGATTAGAAAGTACTGGCAAAAATATTTTTTAATGTTGGGATGTAGTCACATTATCCTTTTTTTTTTTTTTTTTTTCAGTTGTACTAATCTGTGATAATGTCACTGCCTCTCAGCTTCCTTAATCATTAAGAAAATTCAGTGCTACAGAATTCTAGTTTTCCCAGCATTTTTGGATTTGGGTAGACAGAACTGAAGTAAGCTCCAGAAACATTTTGTTCTTGCTTTAGAAATCTGATGTTCATAACTTTAATCCAAAGCAGACTTTGTTGTGCCTCCCTTCCTTGGTATATATATTTGTGAGAAAAACCTAGGATGAATTCTGACAGCTTTTCTTTTTATCACAGAAAACTGTGGAAAATGCATTGCAGACCACAGACAAAAGCAGCTAAGGGAAGCATTTTAGATTACTGCTTTTGCTTTTTAATATTTCTAAAACCTTATATATTAATCGTCACAGTTTTATGTAGGTCTGTTTTTATCTGCCTGGATTCTCAGCCTTTCTGTTGTTTGGGGAATTAATTTCTTTTTTCCTTCAAAGAAGGAAATATGTTATCAAATAGTGGCTGGAATACCCAGCGTGGTAGAGTAGTGTTGATTTGTGTATTTGCTTTGCTGTTTTATTTTCCCTGTGATAACACACCAGCATGTGAGTCCACTATTCAACTGTAATCCTTTCATGGGTACATTATTTCAGCCCCCATGAAAGCCCAGAGCACACAATAAGACATGCACAAATCGTATTTTAGTTTATCAATGTGTATCCAAACATTGCCTTTTAGTCTTTATTTTTCTGGTTTTCTGTTTCATGAATATCTGAGCACTACTACAAAGATGTTTTCTCAGCCTTTGTCCCAATGACTGTCTTACGGGCTAAGCCCTTTACAGAATCTCAAAGACTGAGACCTTTTTTTCCTCCACATCCTTTCTGAATGTGAGCTTTCAATTTATCAATCATCTTGAAATGGTTATGAGGAATTGCGTTATTTTATTAAAATGTCAAGATAGTTCTCCCTGCCCTAGGCTCTCTTTTTTGATCAAGGCGGATTCCCTGACCTTAGTTCTAAACATTTATTCATCCTTCAAACCTGACTTTGGCAGTTGCTCAATTGATAAAGTAAAAGAAAGAGTGTAGACATTTATAATACCTTAGCACTTTAAACCCAAAACTTGCTGAAGCTATTACTCATCTGAATCTACCAGCTGACCTCCCCACGGAGGGATAGATCAGGTTTGCTGCCGTGCGTCATAACGATGAGGTTACAGGAATGGAGAGATGAAGGCCTGCGCCAAGATCACTCAAGGCCAGGTCCCCTACCCTTCCAGACCAGCTTTCTTTCCCATCTCTCACGGTGTCTTCCATAGAGACAACCTCAGAGAAAAAGCAAGAGGAGCTGTAAGGCAACAAAGAGGGTGAAAGTGTAATGAAAATCCTGCCCTTTCATGAAGGAGTTGAAATAACTCTCCTTTACCTCTAAGCTCTTCTTATACTGCTAGGTAGTAGTAGACCAGCCAGAGATCCTATACCAGTAATATAGAGTTCCTGTATTACTCATTTGATTTTGAACTATCTTAAAACAATTAGTCTAAAATACGCATTTCCTTTGGATGCATCTCTTCTAGTAGGTTTTAAAATGAAGCCATTTTGAAGTTACTCAGCTGCAGTCAAAGTTTGACCACTTTCTTTAAAAGTGCGAAACATACACTTTGTTCTGCTCTAAAAATTGTTGAGTGAGCTTTTGGGAATTTTCTTCAGATAACATTCAGCTTTAGGAGGAAACCTGACTTAAAAATGTGGAGAAAAAACTCGAACTCCAAAGGAAAGACCTAAAGAACATATGTAAGTAGTTAAAAATAAAAGCTTAGGTGAAGATACCTGGTCTCTGATCATTAATTTACTTGAATCAAGCCTGCCTTTATTGAATCTTAAACAAATTATGCCTTTGGTACACTTGGCTCAGATTCATGACCTGATTAATAAGGATATTCCTGAAAGACACCCAGCATTTTTATATTTAACCTCTTTCCTGTTTCCTCATTACCTTCTTCATTTTCAGCCACTTGTTCCTTTTTTAAACTGCTCCTCTCACCTTTCATTCTTTGGCTTTTCTCTTTCCTCATTATTGTACTCCTTCCTCATCTCTTTGTTCCGGTTGCTTCTCTTACACTAGAAGGAAGTTTTCTGATTACCCAGTTATGAGTTTGCCCCAGAGACCTGGACTTAGTGCTGGTCAGGGTATAGGGAGGCAAATACACGGGAACACTTTTTGTGTGCATGTAAATTGAAAAGGTTTTAAAGAATT